ATTGTGTGATACACGTGTAACTAATTCTGTGAAGTTAGCTACAATCTATTCTATTGAAATGCAAGATGCATCACAATGGATAATTATTGAATCCTTGTATTCTTGTATCTCTCTTTCTTTCATTTTTTGTCCTTCTCTTTTTAAAAGCAAGGAGACTTTAAACTCGGATAATATCGTAGTCGTCTCGTGCGACTTCGGCTATCCTCGATAGTATCAGATTGTATAACTGACTTTGCATAAAGGATGAAAAACCGTATAGAACGTGAAGTAGCTAATATAAACATATGCGCATAACTAAAGTCCATCCTAAATAAATGTGCAAAGTTTACAAGTAAACACAATTAAAATTTTAATGTAATTAAAATAAATTATTAGATTTCATAAAATGCAAGGGAATGCTTATAAAAATCATGAATTACAGATTTACTTGAAATTTTGAAAGTTTAGATTTCAATTTATCTATCGATGTTTTTTCTTGCATGGAATTTTACATTATATCACATTCATATGAGATTTAAGTGCAATGCAGTTAGTTATTAAATTAAAAACAGAAGAAATCTGTATTCTAGAAAAATTCCATTTTAAATTTTAATCTACTTTGCCTTCAAGTGATACAGCTAGAATTCTCCGCTGCTAGCATTTCTTCGATCAGACATCATCCGTTTTGACGCAAGTTTCAGGAATTGCGCGCGTTTCCTCGTAACTCTCATCCCCCTCCCTTCGTCTCTCTGACGTTCATATTCCGTATCTGACGTCATGGGCGCAAGGCGACTGACGTAAGCGTTAAAAAACTGCTGAAAAGTCGCCATTGGAGATCGACGTATGTACCAAACCCTAAATGTATCCCGTCCTATCACGTAGGGTGACTAACGTCACGTGACGTCATGCGCCTTTGCGCGATGGGCGACCGCGCAGACGGCCGAGGCCGGCGCACCGAACCGAACCGAGTAACACCGAGCGGTGCCGAGTCGAGCCGAGCGGGACAAGTGTATAACGGCTGATAAGACTAGCAATGAACAGTTGCGATAGTACGCGCGGTCGCTGTTGATAGTTTGCCGCGAACGACTTGTCGCAAACCTCGTGGTGGCGTAAAGGAAGTGCAATGCCGAAGC